ACCGCTCTTTCTTGCATATTTACTAAATTTGGAAATGCAATCTCTCGATCAGTGAATCTCAACCAAGGTGCCACGGTAACTTGGGTTCCTTACGATCTTTTCAAAGGTGTTGAGGGCTGCCACACAGTGTTAGCACTGTTAGTTTTACAAACATGATTCCCAGTCTTGAGATTTCAAACAGAAATCCACACTTGTGGTCTGAGTTCTTTGCAACTTAAAAACTGCTCTAAAGTGTTTCAGTGAAAACAGAGCTGGCATTTTCCCAGGGGTTACTTGAGTCTATCCAGGAGTGCCTTGAGTCTAAAAAGGTTGGGAACCACTATTCTAGACTCATTCACATGCAGACACTATACTTTTGACGTACTTTCTTGGGGAAGATTTTAAACAAAATATGTAGTTTCATCTGGTTACCAGTTATCTGAGTGCTCAATGGCAAGTTTTCTACCCACCTATGCAGGTAGCAACAAGCAACTGAGCACACAAAATGTATTGGCTGCTTGAGATAGATATCTGCACACACATACATACATGCATACATATACAGATATTAAACCAGTTTGGAGACTTTTAGATGCCAGAAGAAAGCTATTTTTGCAATATTGAGAACACAATAAAAAAGCCTGGTAGATCAGTCGAATAGCAACAGCAGAAGACAGATCTCGAATAACTCATTCTTACTCAGGGAACTTCAAATAAAGCCTATGTCATGGACCCACTTAGATGCCCCTAATATAACTTGGTTTTATGTTGCAAGTGAAGAATTAGATAGATTGCCCCCACTTGAAACCAGTAAAATATTCAATAATAAAAATAAGGCACTGTTCCTGTGACCCGTGTTTAAACAGGGTTCATATAAGTATTTTTTCATAATCATTTAAACTTGAGTGTTTTCAATCGTAATGCTATCCATTGTGTGTACACGAGTCTGTCCATATGTTGACCATGCCCAAATTACCAGTGAGTGCTGCAGCTGCTCCAAGCAGCAAGATTTGGTCTCCTGATACAAATAATTGACCTTTGAACCAACGGAAGGGGAAAAGTTAAAGAAAGGCATCAACATCTTTCTTTAAAATATTGTTTTGTAGGCGCTAGTAATTGGAAAGTTATTGCCAGAGGTATTTTAAACAAGACATATTTGTAATGGAGCTTGAGATAGTGCGACCCAGAATAAAATAGCTGAGAAGCACTCTGTATCATAATAAAAAGATACTGCATTTCTTTTCTCTATTGCTCTTCAAACAACTCCTTTGAAATAGAATAGATACTGAGATTAACTGATTTCATAAAATCTTGGGATTACAGTGCTCTTGATCAGCATTTAAAGATCAAAGGTTACACGTGTATATTGTCTTGCAATACTAAAAAAAAAATGTAACTTGGCAAGTGATTGTAGGTGGGGGGGGAATGAAAACTGGAATTGCAATGAGGTAAAGCTGTGACCCATGCTATAAGGACTAGCATTTTTGTTTGTTTCCCATGTATTTTCTTTGATGCCCATCTTTGATTTTTAGAATAAAGCCACCGGGGCACAACTCAGGGTCAGACATTTGGCCATACATTTCCAGATGAAGTGGCATAAAAGAAAAAACAAATGTCGGCAGAACAGCATACTGTATCAGCAACAAAAGCTTTATCTGATTTGGAAGCAACCTGCCAAGCCTCACATTGATGGCCAAATAGGGCACACCGAGAGAGGTCAAAGCAAATTCTACTTGCCCCTTGGGAGTAGGAGCATAATGCTAATATTTACCATTATATGAAGATCTGCATGCTCCAAATACTCCGTACATAATTCTCCCAATATTGCTGTGAGAGAAGTCAGTAAGTACATAAGGACCGCTGTCCCGGTTCCACAGATCGGAGACCTAGGTTAATTTTGGCCGGGAGGTTGGGTTCTCAGCGTCTGACAAGCAGGTCAAAGACGACCAGTTCAAGGCCACACAGTAGATCAGTAACAGAACTGGGACTAGTATCTTGGTTTCCAGAGTCATAGGTTACGTCCGCATCGCACTCTGCTGGTAATGCAGAAACACTTCAGCACCTTTAAGCCAGCTATCTTGGGTACCAGAAACAGTTTAGCTGTAGTAGTGTGCAGCTCAGCACAGGCTAATTTCCATGGCTGAGGGGTTTCAGTGCTGTAACTACTTACACCATGCTGGCAGCCTGAGAAATGAGGCTGCAAATGCTAAACCAGCCCTGGATGTCAGAGCAGCTGGATGAGACCATAATCTTTATTACAAAGCAAAGCTGCAGCTAGGTGCCATGTTTATTCTAGGCTGCGTGATTAGCTCCCAGATAGCTGAGCACACGTGCTAGCAATAAGTGGCACGTCACTCCAGGTGCTCCAGGTTTCTGAAGTACTCCACTCGAAAGAGTTTTGAAGCAGCAGGAGCAGCTGTTTGAAGAAACAGTCCTGAGGGCTTGGCCGGGAGATGCCGCTTGAGGACACCATAGAGGAAAATGAGAAAAGGCAAAAGAGGATACAGTATCCCGTAGCAAGTGTCGAGGATGAATTTGGGCTTCAAAGCCAGACAGACTTTATTGGTCCAAAATGTTTTCACGCTCTGGGAACTTGCATAACTCCTTGGATGTTACTAAGTGAAGCAGTCACTGAATGACAAGCCCCATTTCTAGGCAGGTTGGTACAAATGAGCTAAAATATGAAATCCTGGGAAATAAGGAGCTACCTTCACAGCGCTAGCACAAATTCAACCTGACTTCGATGTGACTGCTGCTTTTTTAGCATATCATTTCTTGTTTTCATGTAAATCATCTCACATACATCATCCTATTGTCCTAGTACTTTGGGGCTCCTTCTGCTCTCAGAAAGGTGGATGTGCTTAGCCACTCTTACAAAAATCAGCACGGTCGTGTACCTAGCAGGAGGACCAAGCTCTTAGCCTGACCTTCATGAAGCAGTTAAAGGGCTGAGATAAAGCATTGCTTGATTGCTGAAGTGGGGCCAGACTCGCAGCTGAACCTGCTCAGTTCAAGAGCAAATTAGATAGCCACTTGGCTAGGATGGTTTAGTCAGGTCTTGAACTGCGGGCTGAACTAGAGGACCTCATGAGGTCTTGCAACCCTACTTTCCTTTGATTCAGTTGATGGTATCTAACTTGATAAGCGAAGAGGATTTCATGCTACACCTATGTTATTTTGCCACCCACCTAGCTCTGAACCCTCAACTGCCATTGACATAAATGTACAACCCTAATAAAATCCAAATGGAGATCAATATGCAGTGAGGTTTGCCATTCACGTAGATCAGGGGTGGGCAAAATGTGGCCCGGGGGCCAGATGCAACCTGCCAGGCCATTCTATCTGGCCTGCGGGGCCCCTAAAAACTAGAAAATGAATATATATCTGCCCCTGGCTGCCTGGCATGTGGCCCTCGATGGCTTGCCAAAACTCAGTAAGTGGCCCTCCGCCCGAAATAATTGCCCACCCCTGACAGATGGAGAGAAGAGCATGCCCCTTGCTGCATTTCAGGCATGTTTAGGCCTCCTTAGAGGCAGGTGGTCCCCGTGGAATCAGCAGAGGATGGAAATATGCTGCAAAGTCCTGTCCTCTTGCTGATGACCAGTAGAAAACACCATCCTCTGCCATTTCTTGTCTGTGGTCCTGTGATGCAGCTGGCAGTGTTTCCAGCTACCTCCACGAGTCCAGCAGATTTAGCTTCAGTTTTTTCAAGCCTCTTACTTTGCAGCTTTGAGATTTTTGTAAAACATTGTCATCTGTTTCTGACAATTGATGAAAGACTGATAAAGCGAACCATAAGTTCAGCCTCCTTTTCACTAAATAGAATACACAAACACACGGATACGCATTAGAATAGAAATGCGATCATCAAAAAATAAATAGGATTGCAGCCGCATGCCAAAAAACACACAACAAATAGAGATTTGGGGAAGGTTCGACACATGCTGTTGCCAATTAGGTGTTAGGCTTAGATTCCTAATTTTCCTGTGGGAAGGGAACATTATTTGTTCTGACCACCACTGAGAGTTGAGAGGATACATTGGTAGCATTAGATTCCCCCTAGCAATAACTAGTGACCATGCTCATACCCAAAAGAAATATGTCTACATAATGAACATGGCCTCAGCCTCAAATTCGGAAAATTCTGTTTTCTGAAATTCAGGCTATCTTACGACCGTGGACCAAAAAAAGGAAAAGGGCATTCATCAAATAAGGAAAGCTCTCCTAAAAGGAAAATTCAGCACCAAAATGAAACAAGGAGGATAAATGTGGCTGGGAAAAGGGTTCCTTTCCTTTACGCTAACTCTGGTTTTCTCCCCTCCACTCTTTCTCTCTCCAGAAGTGATTCATGTGGGAGTAGCTCTTTGTGAAGATCTGCAGATAAAGTTATGGCAGCCATCCAAAGACATTCATGGCTTCTGGCAATCTATTTTCCTTTAACATAATTATATCCTTGTGGGGGATAAATCTAGGAGAAGATAAAAAACCACTTCAGTATAGGGGAGGGGGGAAAAAATCGGATTTTTGTCTGCTGCATTGTCGGGTTACAGTGCTCTGTTTCTCATGTCCCAACTAATTGGTAACAGGAAAATTGCTTAAAAACTGACTGTGTCTGCGGTTAACCTTCACTGCACAGGAGTGGGGGTTGTTGTATCTTTTTTCAATTTATATTAATTCTCATGTCATATTCATTATCCTGTTCTTGCTGCTAGGAGCCAACCTTCCCGAACAGGATTGCTGCTCCTTCGCTTGGATGGCAGGCAAAGATGTTGCCTTTCTCGGGGAGATTGTGCTCCTATTTGCAATGCATTCAGGACCGATTCAGACCTCCTTCCCCATGCGTGCTTGTGTAGCTTTCCTTGGTGCATGGTCTCAGAAGGCTGGCAGGTGTATTGTTCTCTCAAAAAGATTTTGCCTGTCAGGTATTTATAGTAAAGGGCAGTGGGAAAAAGCCACCAAATTTAATTGCATAACAGAATGGTGTTCAACATGCCCCGAATGTTGGTGGTTGTGCAGCTGTTTTATGATGGCTGGGTAGTAAATGCCAAGAGAATATTTAGATTTCCTCCCCTCTCGGGTGAGTGATGATGAAAGGCACAGTCCTGTTTCAACTGGTAAGTGCTTAAGTGTGACTGAAATCCACACTGCATACCCAGGAAAGCAGTGCAAAATGTAGGAGGGCCCTTCCTCTCCTCACTGCTTTTGAATTATTAGTTTTTAGTTTTGAGGCTTAGAAGACAGCGTGCTACAAAAGTAGCTGGGCTGCTGGATTTTCAGGGACTCGAACAAGGTGGAATAAGATTGCATTTAGGTGCCTACATCTGCTTAAGGTTCATAAGCCTGAATAACAACATTTGGAGAACTAGGGCCTTGTTAGACCTTACACTATAAGCTGCACAAATGTTAATCGGCTTAGTGTTGTTTGGCTTTGTGGAGCAGTCACACGGTAAGGCAAAAAACCTGCTCTGACTGTCCCTCACCTGCATAGCTGTGACTTGCCACCAGAGGCTTGGTGAGTGGGGGCAGGACCCAGTCGCTGCACCCACCGCTGTGCTGGTTTCAGGGAGACCTGGGAAAGCAGCTTCCCGGGGGCTCTCTGGTTGCACTGACACGGCAGCTCCACAATGAGAGTGGGACCGCCAAGCTTAAGCCCAGTGTAGAAAAGGTTCAGGTTCTAGTGGTGGCCATGATTCCCCCTGGTGACCATGAGACCCTTGCCCTGCTCCAGCTCTAGGGTGCCCTCCCCTTCTCACTTACCTGCCATGCCTTGATTTACTTCGTTGATCAAAAGGGAGGATGCCTAAGGGCCCTAGGGTGAGCCCCAGTTCTTCTGGCCACCAGCAGGTCCTCCCAGACCCTGCTGGTCTTGGTCCTACTCCCAGGCTGGTGGGCTCTGTTGGCCTGCCTGCGCCCCAGGGCACCTGTAGCCGTAAGGGCTGACCTCCCCTATAGCCGTACCCATGTCTCCCAGGTGTTACTGTACAATCACTCCCTTATCAGGGCCCTGGCCTTCTTGACCTCTTCCACTTTTCTCTAGCTGGGCCTTCTAGCCTTGGACCCACTTTTCTGGATCTGGCTTCTGGGCTCCAGGTCTAATCTTGATTACTTTGATCCTGACCCTGCAAGGTGGCAGCTCTGGAGCAAACTTGCTCTGAGGGGCCTGATCCTTTTTTCTCTGGAGTCCAGGCAATGCCCACTTCCCACTCCACCACCAACAGAAGCAGAGCTGGTCTAGGGGTGGTGGGAGGCACTGTGGCTCTGGGGAAAAAAGGATTGGGTGCATTATTGCTCAGGTGGTGCCTGGCCAGCAGCCCAGCTGGCGGGGTGCAGGCTGGCAGGCATCACTTGAGCTCCGGAGAAAACAAAGTGTTAGGCCCCTTGGAGCTCAGAGCATTCTGGGATACTGGAGGACTTCAGTTAGGGTGGAATAGCTGTGGGAAGTGACCACACAGTAATGGAACAGGAACAGATGGGAGGTAATCCTGCCCTGGAGTGGTGCAACTGTAAGCCGAATGATGACTGCTTTTAAACCACTTAAAAGATGTTAATGTTCAGCCAGTCCAGGGGTTAAGTGCTCCAGAAGCTGCCTAAATTTACCGTGTAACAAGGCCCTAAGCAAAAGAGGCACGTAAAGATCTACAAAAGAGTACCCTGCAGATCCACAAGATACCTTTCACTTCTATGTACCTGTACCAATCGTATTTTGAATACTTCAACCTAATCAAAAGGCTTACAGGATGGAGCAGTTCATAATATATCTGGAGGTCCGAGCTCAATCCAAAGGTTGAAATTATCCTTAACTCTAAACACAATGCTATAATTTCCTTTGAATCATATAGGGAGTGTGGCAGGCATAAAACTTCTTGTTGGAACAGATTGTACCTTAAGATGAACTCCCCGTACATAAGGATTTCAAGCTTTTAGCACAGGGAAATAAAACATGTGTGAGACAGAGATGTAAGTGATAGACATTGATGTTAACCCAATATTAACTCAGTTCTAATCACTGCAAAGTATACAGACTGCTGAATATTTAAATCCCAGCATGCTTTTCTGTTATTTTTTTTTAATAAACCAAACCTTGTACCAAAGCAGGGACTCTCCGCAATGCAGAATTTTTAGTGGTTCACCAGCATCTTGGTCTGCAACATGAATTAGGGGAAATTAGGTTGAGGAGAAGGAAGAACAGAACTAGGGATAATGGGATAAAGTAAGAAAGTTAAAAGCTCGGGTGAGTGTTGGAGAAAAACGGAGTGATGTCTCTTAGCTGCGGAATGGTCTCTTAAGGAACATTTAAACCTCAGCTGGTTACGAGAAGAGCAAATGTTCGTCAGAGAACAGTCCTCAGAGGGGAAGGGGATGGAGCAGATGATGCAAAAAGTGTTTTCATTCTCTGATTGCAGTTCCTTCTGCTCCACCCGAGAACGTGTCTGCCGAAGCGGTGAGCTCCACTCAGATCCTGTTGACATGGGCGGCAGTTCCTGAGCCAGAGCAGAATGGTCTCATCTTAGGCTACAAGGTGCACAACAGAAGTGTCATGCTTTCCTGATCTCTAATGCCTGGGTGGTTCTCCCTCCCCACCCCCACCATTCATTGTTTCCTGTGGACAAGATGCATATTAATTCGCCCACCACTTTTGGAGGAGTGTTAAAAATGGGCTGTTTTTCCAGACGTGATCATCCGATCTCACTGGGTTAGAAAAGCTCATCTGTCAAAATTGTGGACTAGGCAGCCCCAGACTTGAGCCATTACTCAGAAGGTCACTGCAGTGTGTTCAGCCTGAAGACATCAGAGTTGTGGGCACAGTCCCCAGCAGAACTGGAGGGGCATTAATAATGTTCTCTGTCTTTGAACATTCATAATCTTTCAGTTTCAAGTTTGTAGTTTCAATGATTTCCCGTAGGTATCCAGTGACGGTTCATATCTTACGCTCTGAATTATACAAAGCCGTGCTCATGCTGGCAGGCTTACTTTGTCACCTCACTCGGAAAAGTGCAGTTGTGAAGCTATTACTTTGTGTTTCAAGAACACGAAGAACTACAACACGCACCCTTTTTTTCTCATCCTTTTGATCATGACTTGACTGTACTTTTATGCATTTGCTCTGCAGATTCTCTATCGGGCAAAAGACCTGGACTCTGAACTAAAGAGCCAAATCGTGAGAGGTAACCACACCCAATCTCATCTGCTGGCCGGCTTGCAAAAATACGTGCTTTATGAGATTCAGGTACTGGCATTCACTCGGATTGGAGATGGGGTGCCCAGTTCTCCTCCAGTCGTAGAGAGGACCAAGGATGATGGTGAGCTTATGGATTGCTGACGTATATTTTCCATGCATTTCTCTTTCAAATGAAAGCTGCTTTCATTCTTGAAATGTAAAAACCTAGCCCCAAGTGGTAGCATTTAGAATTGCTTGCATGAGCTGATCCTCAGCTGGTACAACTCTGCGTCACTCCATCGTTGAACATTTGGCCCCAAAACTGAAAAGCATTTTTTCCCCCTCCCAGATTGACCGAAAAAAATGCTTCTGTTCTAAAAACTTAGCAGCTAGTTCCACCCCGAAGAGAATTTTTACAACCCAATTATGTACTCTTACTGAACTTCAATCATAGCAGTAAAAAAAGACTGTTGGTAATGGGAAGCAATAAACAAATCTAGCCCTGATTGGACCTGAAGGAGATATGGAGCGTGCTGCTGCGGTAATCCATTCCCAGACTTCTGCAAAAGAATAAGATACTGACCTTTGAAAAATGACCATGTAGCCTTCCCTTTGTCATTGCCTCCAATGCTTCCTATGAACTCACGGCTTCCTAAGTGCGGTTTGATGTTTTGAAAGGACTCGAGTTAGCCCCCGATTCTGTTTTAACTTGTCTGCTGGTGAAAGTGTTCCTGCTGGTTGTATTTCACTGAAGTTTAAATCAGCAGTAAAAATGGGTGTTTTTTTTTTCCACTTTGCAGATGTCAAACACTTAAAGGTTAGCTTCTCAGCTTCTGTACATTTTTCATATTAAACAGAGGATAATGCATGTGTCGGTAGGAAGCCTTTTTTATTGCTCCTAATAATAAAAATTAAAAAAATCAGACCCCTTTTGGATCCAAGGGTTCCCAGCAGAAAATAAATAACTGCAAGTTTCCATATAGTGGAGTAATTGTGTTGGTCTGAAAACACGTTCAAACTTCTGACTTAAAAGAGTATTTCCTGCAACGTTTTGTGTGAAAGAGCGAGGACGTGCCTTGCTCGCAAGAGGAGGGCAATAACCCCCCATTGCTACTTTAGTCATTCTCCCAAACCAGTGGCAGTGTGGCAAGTTGGCCTTTTTCGGAGAGAAGCGGCAGAGAGGAGATTATTGTAGCAAAACTCGACAGGGAGAGAGAACATTCACTGAATTGCATAAACCGGAATGTAATGAGAAATATTTAAGGCTGTTTGTCAAAGACAAGCCCATTACAGCAGTTCCCTCCTAACGTGCACGTTGGCAAATGACACAAATTGTTCTTCCATCTCCATACTCCCGACATAAACATGTTGTGTCTCCTCTCAGTTCAATTTAATTAAAAGTATCATCAGTGACAGTACAGGTGGGATTTGTGCTTAAGGGGAAATTTGGCGGCTGCATATGTGTGAATTAGCATAAACTCACCTTGTGAACCGGAGCTGGGCAAAGTGGCTGCCAGCCGGCTGTGCTAATGTGCTTCTGACCTGACAAGGGTGCCTGTGCTCAGGCACAGGTGCTCCGAACGCACATGTACAGTCAGGAGGGAGCTCAGAGCGAGGGCTGTCGACGCGGTTAGAGGATATTATTCACTTTCAACAGGCATGAAGTGGATTAAGCTGACATGTAATCTCTCTCTGTAAAGGTAGCTCAGCATCTCTCTTCTTCGTATATAATCAGTTATATAGTGACTTCAATGCGGTGAGTAATCTGGTTGGCTCAGAGAGATTCTCAGCTCTCCGGTTATGAGATAATTCTCCCAGAGGTCAGAACTCATTTGTCAAAACATCCTTGTAAACACATTTTTGCAGGTGCAGAGAAACACTTTTGGATGTGCGGTTGCAGTATCACTTGCTCTTCTAGGGTGCTGGAGAAATTCAACCTTAGATAGGGAGACCCAGAGAGAGTGCATCATAAGCTCCCAGCCATCTCTGCAGTATGGGTTAGATACTGCTTGGGCTGACTTTGTAAAGTGAGCAGAATAGTCTTTAAACAAGCAAGGCAAGTTTTCATAGATGTTAGGGTCAGAAGACCTCAGTAGGTCATCGAGTCCAACCTCCTGCCCTGGGCAGGAAACAGCGCTGGGTTCAGACGACCCCAGCCAGGTGCTTGTCCAGTCTCCTCTTGAAGACCCCCAAGGTAGGCGAGAGCACCACCTCCCTCGGAAGCCCATTCTTTGAGTAGATGCGATATCTTTTATTAGACCAACTGAGTAGTTGGAAAAAAGTTCATAGCAAGCTTTCAGGCGCAGTCACCCTTCTTCAGGCATAGGAAGTCTCTGCTGTTCACTCCCTATGCCTGAAGAAGGGTGACTGCGCCCAAAAGCTTGCTAAGAACTTTTTTCCAACTACTCAGTTGGTCTAATAAAAGATATCGCATCTGCTCGAAGAACCTTGCCTGCCTACGTCCTTACAACAACACAGCTGCAACCAAAAACCCTTTAAACAAGAAACACCTTTTAGAACTAGTAAGTCCTTTAACACACGTCGGCAGACAAGGTTCTTTGGGTAAATCTGATCTTTTATTAGACCAGTTATTAGGCATTGATGTACTTTGGGTAAATCTAATCTTTTATTAGACCAATTATTGGGTATCAATGAACTTCGGGTAAATCTAATCTTTTATTAGATCAGCTCAAATAGTTGGAAAAAATTCATCTTTGCAAGCTTTTGGAAACGCCCTTCGTCAGGCTGAAGAAGCATCTGCAGTTGGTCTGTGCTCTTCCTTGGTCGAATTAAAGTGATCGGATTTACCCAAAGAACCTCGTCTGCCTATGTCCTTAGACCAACACGGCTGCAACCTCTACCCTTTAACACACATCTGCATTCATGATCTCTGCTGTTCCTTTTAGCTCCTGGGCCGCCTGTGAGGCTGGTGTTCCCCGAGGTGAGATTGACATCCGTACGGATTGTGTGGCAGCCCCCAGAGGAGCCCAATGGAATTATTCTGGGTAAGAAGAAAGCAGAATTTAAATTTCCCAATGCCATGGCTGTTGCAAGAGACACTTCTGCTCTTTCTTCCTCTTGCTCTTAGTATTGGAAAGCACATGCAAGCCTGCTAGTTGCTGAAAACAAACATTGCTGAAAAATGTGGTACCCAATGGCGAGGGCTTGGAAGGGTCAGTGGAATGATATGCAACAAATATAGCACCGTTCTGAGCCTCTGGTTGCACATTTCTCTGAGTCAGATGCATCGTCCAGGTCATGGCACTATATGTCAGTTGTCATCCACGTTTCCATCTGGTTTTGCTTTGTATACAGTTGGGATGAGTATTTGGCAAGCTGCCTGGGAGTCTAAGGCATGGGAGAGTTGTTTATTTTCCCCCTCAGGATGCCAGGTTGTGCCGAAGTTTTAGTAGTATGTATTTTTCATGTGTTTTATCGCTTTTCTTTGAAGAATACCATCTGTCAGGTCCCAAGGAGTTAACTCACAATTGGCTTTTCATCAAGGGGAATAGCAGGAGCCAACTCAATGACAAGACTGAAAAATCTTATCACCTTCCTTGTACCCTACCCTTCAGGATGACTTCTCGTTTTGAGCTCATTTTTTAGACTCAGCTGCCCCTGTGCTTTGTTCCTTGGCATTGATGTACTTTGGGTTTGTATTTAGACTTCTGCAATTATTTCCCATAGCTTTAGAAGAGTTTTAAGATGGATCCATGGTTGAGGTTTTACTAAGTTGACCGTGTTCCTTTAAATAACGGGCATTTTTTTTTTTTGCCTTATGATAAAATCTTGATACAGGAGCTGTATAAATTGTTTGCTCAGGTGTGCAGTAGCCCAAAGTACTCGTGTGATGATATTCTAGCACCTGAAGCAGCAGGAAAGTCATCAGATGTGATCTAGAGGCAGCTGTTCAGGGATCTCTTATACACAAGGAAAAAAAGGTTTGCATGAAACTTGGCAGTAGTTACCTGTCAAAGACAGAACCATGCCTTGTATTCCTGCAGATCGGGGTTGTTGGTTTTTTGGGTTTTTTTAAAGGCACTCTTTGTCCTTTCTGCTTGCTTCCAGTGGGAACTAGAATTTCAACCATAGAAAGTTTAGGGAAAACCCCAGCTGCTCACCTTGGCCTAGTTCGAATGCAAAGTCTTTTAGGGCAAAAAACTCTCTTTGCACACATACAGTTGGGATCCATTCTTGGTTGGCTCCTATGCACTACGGGAGCTAACGTGGAGGGGACCTCAAGAAATCGCCTAGTCCATCCCCCAGCTCTGAGGCAGGATGAAGTAAATCTACACTGTCCCTAACCTGTTCATTGAAGCCTCCAATGATGGGGGCTCCATAAGCTCCCCTCTAGTGCTTGATTAAACATTAATACATTTTTTCTTGTATTTAACCTAAATCTCCTTTGCAGCAAGTCAAACAGGTCATCCCAGTTCTATCCTTGATGGATACTGGAATTAGAGCACTTATGTTACATGCTGGAAATTGTTTATTGTGGCTACCTCTGCCTCAGTCTTATCTTTGCAAAGCTGAACAAACCCAGTTTGTTTCCGCTTTTCTTCCAGAATCAGATTTTCAAACCCTTTTATCCTTCTTCTCCCTCTCCTCTTGATGCTCTTCAAGTTGTAAACATCTTAGGGCCCCACCACGCGTTCAGATTGAAGCTGGATAGAAATCAGCTATATATAGCGTTAAAGGTTTTCAAGTACTATCTTTGTAGCCCATTGGCTCTCTTTATAGCTGGATGGACATTTTTATGGTGCAGTAATGACTTTGCATGTGTGGCTGGTTTAAATTTATTGCATGATTAATAAGTTAATGGTGTAACAGATGTAATACATGGCAGGGGCCTTAAAGATCACTGCCCCAGACTGGACGCAGAACTCCAGCTGCAGCCTCACCAGCACTGACCGGAGTGAAATAATTTACCTCCTTGTCTTACATGAAACTTTGCTTTTAATACATCCCAGAATGAGATTTGACTCTTTTTGCAATACCATCACATTGCTGACTCACACTGGTGTGTGATCTCCCATAACCATCAGGTCCTTTTTGGCTGTACTGCTGTTTAATTGGTTGCTCCCCATTTTGTAGGTGTACCTTCGATTTTTTTTCTCCCCCTTAAATGAAGCACTTGCACTTGCCTTTATTGAATTTTATCTTATTGATTTCAGACCCTTTCTCCAATTTATCATGATCGTTTTGAATTCTGATCCTCTCCTCTGAAGCGCTTGCATCCCTTCCCAGCTTGGTGTCATCTGCAGATTTTACAAGCGGACTAGCTATCCTATCAAAAAATTGAATGGTACCAGACCTGTGACACATTTCTGCAGGGCTGCACTTCACACAGCCTCATTGTTTGTCAGTGAATAATTGATGACAACTTTTTGATCAGGGTTTTCAAACAAGTGGTGCATGCATCTTATAATAATTTCAGTTTGAACATATTTACCTAGTTTGCTTATGAGACTGTCATGTGGGAGTGTATCAGAAGCCTTACTGAAGTCAGGCTATATCACATCTCCTCTTTCCCCCATCCACTAAGCTGGTTACCCAATCAAAAGAATAAATTAGTTTGACATGATCTCTTGGCTGTTTTCTCATCTCTTTATTAGCCCCCTGGTTGCTTACAAATTGAATGCTTAATAATGTGTACCGGGATCTTTCTGTGTATTGAAGTTTGACTGGTCTTTTAATACCCCAGGTCCTTCTTTTCTTTCTTTGCTACTCTCCAGTTTTCTGGGACTTCTCCTGTGCTCCAGGAGGTCTTGAAGAGAATCGCTAATTGTTTAGAGATTGCTTCAGCGAATCCCTTTAGTGCTCTTGGGTAAATCTCAATATGCCCTGCTGGCTTGAATGCATCTAACTTCTCTAAATAGTCTTTAACCTGTTCTCTACCTATTCTGGTCTGTGTTCGGATCCCTTTTGTTGTTAATTTTAATTGTGTTTAAACATCTGGTCACAATTAACTTTTTCTGTGAAGACTGAAGCAAAAAAGGCATTGAGCATTTCAGCCTTCTCTCTGCCATCTGTTATTTGCTCATCTTTCTTATTAACTAATGGACCTATATTTTTCTCTGACTTCTCTACTTACCGTACTGCCTTTCATGTCCCTTTCAAGTTGTAAATGATTCTGTACATTAGCCTTTCGCATGCTGTCCCTACAGGTTTGTGCTGTTATTTTATAATTGACCTTGCCAATGTGTCCTTGTTTGCACTTTTCTATGATTTCTTTCTGATTTGCAGGTCATTAAAGGGTTTCAGACATAACTGCAATAGTCTCTTACCCCCTTTTCTCCACGTCAAGGTACTTTGCCGCTGTGTCTTTGGGACTCTGTGCGAGATGCGCCCAGCTCTCCTGAACTCCTTTTTCCATTAGAAGTTCGTCCTGGGGAATCTCACCTAACCACTCCCTGGGTGTGTTGAAGGCTGGCTCTTGAACGTCCGATGTCTTTCTCCTCCTGCCTTTGTTTTACGAATGATAAATTAATAACCACATTTAGGTTCACGAGTTGTCAGAGTGAAAGGGTAAGAAACACCCACCTAGGATATTTCTGCTGTGCCTTGTAGGAAAAGCAGCGTCTCATACTGAGAGCTGAAAAACCAAGTCGTACTCTAA